ATCTATATTTTATAGGTAACAAAATCAACTGAATAAGATTGTTAAGTATTTGAATCTGTGAAAGAGTTTTAAAATTTCAAATTAAATTGTGAGAACATGAGGTAGGAAAACTATGATCATTTAAGTTTACTATTAATGTACACAAAAATGCTATTTATTTGTGGTAGAAATAATGCCTTTTATTTATGTGCTACGCCTGTGTACATGAAAGGCTTTCAAATGCATTATCTGTGTATAAAGTTTCACACTTAAGATGAAAGCCTTATGTAAATCCAGAGGGTACTGAGCAATTTATTAGTATTTTCATGAAAGTTTAATTTTTAAAAATGAGAATCTTTTTTTCTATTAAACATATCTTTCCATCTATTTTCACAGATTTTCCAAAAATCAGCAATATTTTGGCTACTCACTGTTTACACAGATGTAACCCTCATGACACCTTTCACTTTATTTTAGTTTTATGTTTCTTACACATACACATTTTTGCTTTACAGGTTTTTGCCTTATTGCTTATGTTCCATCAATTATTCTCTTCACTTATATTGCTATTGTACTCTGATTCTTAAAAATTTGGTTGAAATTGTTACATCTTGGAAATAATGAGCCCATCAGGGAATTTATATTTAATACGAGGAGGACTTTTATTATAGGCCTGGGATGTGACCTTTTTTGTTTAGTTGATATAAGTTATAAATGTATAGGTATGTCAAAAATAGTAAAACTAACATTTATTTAGTACACTGTAATTAAAAACAGCAAACACATTGAAAAAAAGAAATCTACAATAATTTACTAGTTTTTTATTTGTATATAAATGTCTAAAATTTTAATCAAAAAATTTTTTCCTTTTTTTTTTAGATCAAAGCTTACACACAACTTAAACTTTCAGGTCTTTTGCCATCTGCGTATTGGATTGGACAAGCTATAGTTGATATCCCCTTATTTTTTGTTGTTCTTATTTTGATGTTAGGAAGCTTGTTTGCTTTTCATTATGGATTATACTTTTATGCTGTAAAGTTCCTTGCTGTGGTAAGTTAACTCATGCTATTTATAGATAAAATATTATTTTAAAAAACTATAAACATGGCAATTGGTTGAACAATTTGGTTATTAATTTTTTTAAAGAAAATAGAACAAGTATCTAATTATTGTATATAATATATGTAATCACTTCAATTTATAGTACTATACGTAATTTTGTAAAACAATAGATTACTACTATTTTACAATAATTTCTTGAAACTGAGATTATTTTTCATGTAGACCACTTACTTGTGTGTAATTGGGAATACTGAAATGTATTCCTTCCTTCAGATGTCTTTCTTGGTTGTTCTTATGCTTGAACATGATTTCACAAAGAATAAGCTCTTATTCCATAATTTAAAATATGGCTTAAAATACCGAGGAAAAATTAGATTCACATTCATGTTCACATGTAAATGACTGACTAATAGACCTTCTCATTGATGATTTTTATAGGAAAAAGAGAAAACAGAGCTAGGTGAGATATTGGTGCTGAACGTGGACTTATCAATTTTGCTAGAGATCATACTGACTTCCTATATTAATTTCTACCATATAAAATAATAAATGTCTTCCTGAAAACTTTACAAAATGTATTAAGTGCTGTATATTAAAATAGCAGCTAATAGTTGATTGAGAGAGAGAAAGTTGTAACCAGCTATACTTTCTTTTTATAACAGATAATGAGAGATGGTATTTTACTTGGTATAAAAAACTGTAAATTGTGTTCAGTTTAAATGACCATATTAGTATTGTATTCATAATAAGTTAAAAG